ATTCCCAGCGTCAATCAATGGACTTGGTAAATACTAAAACGTTTCGCCGGCATCATCAGTGAGTGCTACCGTTCTCCGCGCCAAGCTACGAACTCGTCAATGAGACAAGTGAAGTCAAACCCTCGACAAACTTTCTGCCGAAAACGGTTACACTATCATTTCTCCTTCTGTCTTGGCCTATCTATCTACTCTTTACCCTCTTATCCCACTGCCACCCTATCCCAACTTCTCACTTGTTTACATTCCACTCCTAAAAATGCGTGCCCTTTTGTGGCAAATCTAGTGTGGCCTCATCACACTTGCGAATTACCTCGACCCCTCTCTTTCGATCGGCTGATCCTACTCGAGCCTTCAATCCGGATCCCCTCATTGTCTCGTAGATCCGTTCCTTATCTTCTTGGTTGACAGATTTCACTCGGTTCCAGTCCCAGTGTGCATTTCACGCCAGGCGCTATTTCTCAAAGCCCTAGAAACACGTACACTGCTGCTTCACTGAGCAGAACGTCTAAGGTCTGATTGTCATGCTTGCAGATTTCAGGCCTTCCCTTCACGGGGCGTCTCCTTGATTAAACCCATGTTATCTGAGCAAAATGTGAACGCGTATCTCTAGTCGCATGCGACATCTCAAATGGATTTATAGTACACTTTAGCCATAAATCCGAATTTTCTTGAAGGTTTGCTTGTCCGTCTGCCCAGCTCTCTGACTGCCAGGCCCCCAAAGTTGTTCTGGTTTATTCGAAACGGACATTACTCACTGACAACATCCTCGCTTTATTGCCGAAAACCCCTTCCTTCGATTAGCGGTATATCCTTGATCCAGGCGTCTCCTATTTGCTGGTCATGCTCCATTCTTGTTTTCCCCGAGTTTGCTTAGGCAATAGACAAAGTTATCTCTAACTCTACCTTCCTCCAATCTCCTGTTCATTAGATTTTTCTCTCCAAGGATGCCAGTGGACTCCCTAATCTTCCATTTCCTTGTGTTGCCACCGTATGGAGCTTTCCTTTTTGTTGCCTTCCAATTGATCTCGTGTCAAATCTGTGCGATATGTTCAGCTAGTTCTGATCATTCGGTATCCAATTTTTCTGCATAAACTCTGATGTTTCTTGATTCGTGTGCTAGTTTTTCTCCCTGCTTCGTCAATATATTTTTGATCGCAGGCCTTGCCTCGCATACAGTAAACTCATGAGCCATCCAATTTGTCTACCCCTTCATATTGCCTTAGCAGACTTGTGAAAAGTGTTGATTTCTCTATCATGGTCACCTGAATATTCTATTTACTCAATATTGGCCGTCGTTTTTGAGTTCATTCGCAGGAAGGTAGGCATATCTACTTTTGTGAATCCTTCATCGTCCTCACTTTTCTTCCATAATCCACGTTCTGTCATCGGCTTTTTAAGGCCCGTATGTTTCTTTTTATTACTTCGCTTGGGTAGCCATTGCCGAGGAATATCCTCGTCAATTTGTACAGCTCCTTGTCCCACAATTCGGTATCCGTTAGGCGTATGCTTAGGATAATCATGCTCCGCGTTATTCCTCTCTTTAGCATGTAATTGTGATGGGACTGGAAATTGAGTATTATTGCAGAATGGGACTACTTTCTGAACAACATCTTTTTGAGCGTCCCATTAGAGCGAATCACTTTAACTCAATTTTCGGTCCCATCACACTTATAGGCTGAAGATGGGAGTAATGAGGAGCATAATCATCCGAAGCCTATGCTTAACGGATGTATAATTCTGGGACGAGGAGCTGTACAAATTGACGAGGATATTCCTCGGCAATAGCTACCCAAACGAAGTAATACAAAGAAACATACGGGCCGTGAAAAGCCGATAGCAGAACGGGGACTATGAAATAACAGTAAGGACGATGAAGTATTCACAAAAGTGGATATGCCTACCTTCCTGCGAACTAACTCATAACCTACGGCCAATATGGAAAATAATGGAATATTCAGGTGACCATGAAAGATAAATCAACACTTTTCACAAGTCTACCAACGCAACATGATTGGGTAGACAAATTGGATTGTTCAAGAGTTTACTGTTTATCATGCGGCGCCTGCGAACAGAAAAATATTGGAGAAACAGGAAGACATATTAGCACACAAAATAGCGACCAGAGATAGGCATCCACAGTTTGCTCAGATAATATGGGTTTAATCAAGGAGACGGCCCGTGAAAGGAATGCCTGATATATTCAAGCATTACAATCAGAGCTTAGACGCTCTGCTAAATGAAGCGGCCGTGTACGTGCTTCTAAGGCCGTTTGAGAATTTACCATGTCCACTGTCTGATGTTGGGAATCATGACAACTACTATCGCAGACAACTTCGGATTAGGTGCGTTCTACTAAATTGCCTTGACAACAAGACCAAGTTGTGACGAGGTCAAACCACTTCTATAAATCGAAAGGTGACTGAGACCATAACAGAGGCCACAACATCTTGGTCTTCATATCTTAAATTACTCTCTCTTGTTAAAGTTTCTTTCTGCATCTATTCTGCTTTAAGAATAATTGTCCTTCTAAGATCTCCAGTATGACTATAATTGGTTTCCCGCCTCAAATTCTTGTTTATATTAATTGCGCGTCAATTTCTACCAGCAGTTCTATCCATTTCAATCCATTGTTTCTTATCCTCTAAGAAAATTATTGAGTTTTTTTACTGTGTTTATTAAGGTGTTTATTACTTTTTGTGCCTTAGTCATGTCTATTCCTCCTATTTATATATTGCTCCACAATTGATGCCTTCATTTGGCTA